CAGTAATAACGTTAAGAAAGCCCGGAAAAACAAGCTACGATGTACCCAAATCATATCGTCCGATAGGACTACTGTCTGTTCTCGGAAAAATAGGTGAAAAAATGATGGTTAGGCGACTAAAGTGGCACATATTACCCAAATTAAATCCGAGGCAGTATGGTTTTGTGCCGCAGAGGAGCACCGAGGACTCCCTCTATGATATGGTCCAGCGGATTAGGAGCAATCTGGATGAGAGGAAGATTGTCGCCCTAATTTCGCTGGACATAGAGGGGGCCTTCGATAATGCCTGGTGGCCCAAAATCCACTGCCAATTAAAGACCATGGAATGCCCAATAAATTTGAGAAGACTGGTGGCAAGCTACTTGCGGGACAGATCAGTCAGGGTGAGGTATGCAGGGGAAGAAATTGAAAGGAAAACTAATAAAGGATGTGTTCAAGGGTCCATCAGTGGACCCTTTTTTTGGAACTTAATCTTAGACCCCCTGCTTAATATACTCACCCTGACTGGAGTGTATTGCCAAGCCTTCGCTGATGATGTGATAATTATAATCTCAGCTAATAACGCCCAAGAAATCGAAAATAAAGCTAACACTGCATTGGATAGAGTCAAAGAGTGGGGGATATCAAATAAACTTAATTTTGCACCCCAAAAGACTAAAGCAATGATTATAACAAAAAAGCTGAAGTATGATATCCCCCAACTCAAAATGAGCGGAATCAAAATCGACCTCGAAACTGAAATTAAGATCTTGGGCGTTATTATAGACCATAAGCTTACTTTCAATAGTCACATCTCATATATCTGTAGGAAGGCACTAAATATTTATAAAGGGATTACAACAGCAGCTAGGGTCACCTGGGGTTTAAACCCTGAGGTGATACGCACAATTTATGTAGCGGTAATTGAGCCCATAATCTTATACGCGGCCAGCGTATGGGCCAAAGAAGCAGGAAAAATAAAAAGCATAAAGGTCTTAAATACGGTACAAAGGGGGTTCGCACAAAAAATAGCAAAGACCTATAGAACAACATCACTGAATTCCGCCTTGATACTGTCGGGGTTGCTTCCGCTGGACCTTCGGGTCCAAGAAGCATCCCGGCTTTATGAAGCAAAGCGCGGGAAACCTCAGGAAGTATTGAGCGGAAGAAAAGTGGAACAAAGGGTATCCTTACTGGAATCGAACCACCCCGGCAGTCTCAGCATGATAGGTTTTGAATGTGTGGAAAACGCCGAAGAGGATGGGAAAACAGCAGAAGGCCAAGTGAAGATATATACAGACGGCAGTAAACTGGAGGGAAAAGTCGGTGCAGCCCTGACCTGTTGGGAAGGGGCTGTTGAGATCGCGTCCCGAAAGTTCAAATTGGAGCCGTTCTGTACAGTTTTCCAGGCCGAGTTGTATGCCATCCTCCAGGCAACGGAATGTACGATGAGCAGAGAATGGAAGGAGGTAGCAGTGCTAAGTGATTCGAGATCCGCCCTTCAGTCGCTGCAGGATCCGGACTCCTCGCATCCGATCACGAAGGCAATTCAGGGCAACCTGGTCCAACTTAGGGAACTAGGCCGAAAGGTCTCCTTATTTTGGATCAGGGCCCATGTCGGCGTGATCGGAAACGAGAGAGCGGATGAACTGGCGAAGAGGGCGGCTCTCGGATTGAAATGTAAACCGCATTATGACGGGTGTCCCATCTCTTTTGTCAAAAGGCATATACGCAGTTTGACAAAAGTAGAATGGGACAACCGGTATAAGAGCGAAAGCACTGCTGCCACGACGAAGGTCTTTTTCCCTAGTGGAGAAGAGGCCTTCGGCGTCGTAAGAAAGGTGAGGAATGACAGATGGACTGCACAACTGTTAACGGGGCATGGAGGTTTTAGGTCTTACCTCCATGATTATAAATGTAAGGATACCCCATACTGTGAGTGCGACCCCCAAATTAAACAAGATGTATTTCACGTCATTTTAGAATGCCCCATCTACAATAATATTAGGCACACTATACAGAGTCATATAGACACAAAACTTAGTAAATCAAACCTTAAATTAATAATGGCAAATAAGAGCGAAAGAAATATATTTGTAAAGCATGCATGTGAAATAGTTAAAAAAGTAAACGCTAGAAATAAGGATTGAGATTGAGATGAGATATAAAAGGATAAACAAAAAACTGTGATATTAGTTGTAAGTAAAATCTGTCACTATAAACAAAGTAAATAGTAATAAATAAAAATGTAACGTAATAAACCTAGAAATATAATATAGAAATGTATAAATGTAATAGTATAAGATAAGAAAATATATGTAAATAAATATAAGAAAAAACTGTATTAGTATAAAATGATAAATGTATTAGAAATAAGCATGCATTCAAAAGAGGGAAAAAAGAGCGATCCCCAAAAAGGCTAAAAAAAAAAAAAAAAAAAAAAAAAGATATATATAAAAAACAAAGAAAAGAAAGCAAAAAATTAAACAGAACGAACAGCCGACCTGCTATACAGTGGGGGAAACCTGCCAAAAAAAAAAAAAAAAAAAAAAAAACATCATAAATATAATGGTATATAAATATCACAAAGTGTTCATTGAATAAAATTTATTTTATAACACTACTCAGCTCACGTAATTGACGAACCACGCGTTGCGGCTCGTCGACCGCGGTACGAAAGAATAAATAAATTTTATAGTAAGACATTCGACCTTCGAATTCAAAAAGACATTCGAATCTTCAGTCAGATTTGCATAGAACCAGATGGCATGGTATCTACATATAAATAGATTTTATAATAGACTCATTTTATTAAGAGCAGAAATTTTATTATTTATTTGCATTGAATAGGATCCGTAACTAGTGGACCTATTTTCAAAATCCTTTCAACTACAGTAATCTACATCATACGCGGTTGACAAAGGCTATTATAATTCATGCAAACGGCTAATATTTTATAAAAAAGAATTGCACCTGACTTAAAAATAACAAATGACGATATAACAATGTTAATGGCCCCATCTGTATAGATAAACATCAAAATGCCTATACCCATTATCGGGGCGTAGACATGCAAGCTAAACAGCAATTACACCGTTTTGAGTAACGCCACGTAATTGCCGGCAGGGGGCGCATTAGCCGGTACCAGTACAGGGGGTTGACAAAATTCTAATATTCATAACTCGTAAAATGTTCTAATATTATAAAGAGGAAAGATTTTTGGTATAGCATTGATTAAGCTCCAAACTATTGGATCGATTTAAAAATTGTTTCACATACGGGAAGCTACATCATACGTGGGTGACATAGGCTATAATTAACGCGGGCGATGTCACGGAAAAACAGCTAGCGTATTAATAAAATTAGCTTTGAGTTAATACGACAAAATATCAAGCATCAACTTTGCTATCCTGTAATTAATTAGAATACAAAAAAATAATATTCCAAACATTATTCAATTTCTAACGTAATGCGTACGAGCAATCAAGCAACCTACCTCATATTATAGATTTCCTTACGTAACGATTACATAATCTACGTCTTCATAATATTACTAGCTGTTTTCCTGCAACTACGCGTAAATTATAGCCTATAATAATCGAATATCGCCGTTACACACGCGTGTAATGGCGATATTCAGGTAGATAAAATACGTGTTACTTGTTAGAATGTTAGTAAGTACTCAAATCTTGGAACTCAAATTTGACCCTCTTCCCAATGACATGTAAGTCAGATGACAATGTAATATTATGGTATCAATAAGCTGATATGTATGATGATGAAGTCGTAAGATGTTCATAGGAACTTGGTGAAGAATTGACGCAATTGCATCGTGTTTGAGCTAGTTAGATCCGTTTTTTATGAGGAGTTTGTTACTGGATGATTTCCAGACTAAGGTCTGGTGATGATAGCGCTGGAAGGTGGTCATAGAAACTGGCAATGAATTATAGCAACAGAATCGTGTTTGAGCTCTTTAGATCTATATTTATGAGAACAACAACATATTGAAACAATCACACTTGCAATACACATGCTATGTCTGAAATAAATAGAATGATAAAAACTATAAAGTAAAAATTAAAATATAGTAAAAAAAGTTTTTATTTGTGCTCACTAAAACTTAAATAATATTTTATACAAGACGAGTTCATTTGTCTTATAGTAATTGACTTAAAAACTTGTAGCTAGCTTGTAGCGCTAATGAAATCGGAGTCATCTCACATATTTTTACGGGCTACAAGCTTTTCAAGTCAATTGCAGTTAGAGAAATAAACTTGTCTTGCATAAAATTATTATTTAAGTTTTAGTGCGCACAAATAAAAGCTTGTTTAAAAAAAATATATCATATTGTTATTTTAAAATCGGTCTAGTAGTTTCGGAGCCTTTTCAATGCAAACAATCTCTATACGTTATAATAAACATGTCTCTCACGAAAGCCCTATGATTTAGTAAACTTTTTTTTAAAAGGGAAGTAGTTTTCGAGCGAAGCGCGTATCAAAAGCAATACATCACACTAACTAAGTTACAGGAGCGAGTAGGCGCAGCGCAACCCATTATGTTCCGAATTGTATTAACGTCGACATTGATTGTTTGCAAACTAATAACAAAGCAGCAAGCAATTTTAACACTTTTAACGTTCACTTTATAAAGAATATCCGACTGCAGTAACTAAAAATATAAATCGACTTAAAAATCTATCAATAGCGGAAAAATATATGTACAAGACAGTAAGTATTATATATTTAATGGGTATTTGACGTTAGCGGCAGGAGTCATCGGCGTGTGAATTCATTTTTCCGCTGACAAAAGTAATAAATGTGACTATCTGTTCGCTCCCCCATTTAGGCGTCGCGTCGTAATGAATCGCTCGCATAAAAGGCATAACCAAGTGGAAGCGACGCGACGCGCCCCCGCGGCACCGAGTTAATGCGTTTTGTGCTGACTGGACGAGATATCCCGTCAACAATCCCGTTGATCTGTAATACCCTAATGATAATTGTGTTACGATCGTATCGTTTTAAATGAATTTAGTTATAGGTAAGTAAGTAACCCAGTATAAATTAAAGTAAAGGTCAAAAAAATCTTTATATAAATAAAAAATATTTATTGTAATGATATTTACTTAATAATTAATTAAAATTGTATCAAAAGCACTTACTAAAAGAAAAAATAGTGCTAACAGGACTAATGAATCTCGTCAGTCATGCAATGTCCTGGATAGCTCAATGGTTAGAGCAGTCGCTGGGATTGCGAAAGGTTGTGGATTCTAGCCCCATCTCAGAATACGAGTACTTCGGAGCAGACTGTATTTTTAAGCATTTTTCATTAAGTATATGTAAAAAAAACTTGCTGAGTTTCTTGGCAGGTCATCTCCCTCGATCGATGGGCGAACTGATGGTATAGCTTTATAAACAGCCAAAATTGAATAAATCATATTAAATTTAATCGCTATTTGGGAAAAGATCGTTCGCTCACAATGTTGTTAGTTTCAATATTTCATGTGTCAATTAGTAAAATTGGTTTATTTAAAACATTAAAAATCAATAATAAAAAACTGCACAACAGTAATGTGTTTAAATCAAGTTTAAAGGTAGTAAGTAAAAATATAAAGACTTAAATTCCATAATGTTTCTTAAAGCAAAACGATTAGAAGGATCGGTAATTAATGAGGCAGTTTGATCCTTCACAAGTGGTATTAAGGATTAAAGTGATTTGTTTGTTGCAGGAACAGTCAGTATGAGACGTTCCACGTGGATCAGAAAGGCTATAGCTTGTACGACGGTGACGACTTGGAGACGCCGCCGTCGCCTGACAGACCACCACCGAGACCCATAGGTACTGTAAAACCCAATATGAAGTATCATAATTTATTTTATGGGATCGGGGGCAGACGAGCAGACGGATCACCTGAGGGTAAGTGATTACCGTCGCCCATGGACACCTGCAACACCAGAAGGGCTACAAGTGCACAAGATAAATAAATAAAAAATGTGCTTGAATTTTTTAATGCGTCAATAAATATTGTCAAAATATAATTATTCTTAGTCGTCTCATCCTTTTTGTCGCTTATTTTTATTTTATTTATTTTTTTCGTTTTTTTGCGTCCCTACTCTAACAACTCAAATAAAAATAACTAAAGTACTTGATTTCTTTAAAAAAATCTCTTGTCAATTTTATTATTCTTATATTGAAAAGTTCTATTGTATCAAGAGATCAAAAATTACGCCTGATGATTCTATTCCGACGATGACTTAATGTATTATATACTCAGTTTATATAACGATACGTAAATTCAACGTATGAAACATTCCAATAAATTAGATGTTGAATACATTTTTTTTATTACAGACAAATATGTACGTGCCGAGTGTCCATGTCTAACAGCGCGATATACAGTCGCGCTGCTCGCTTGCTTCGGCTTTAGCATCATGTTCGGAATGAGGTGCAACATGAGCATGGCTAAGCTCAAAATGACAGAAAAAATCAACGTGAGTCAATTATTATTTTACCCTGTTTTAATTGAGAATTACAAATGATTGTTCCGTATTCAGACTTGGATTTCATCCATGAGGTTTTTTATATAAACGCCATAGCTATAACAATATTATTAGTGGCATTTTCCAATCATTTATGACCTACATTTACAGATCAATATAAATATTAAATAAACATTAACTTGTCAGATATTAAAAAAAAAAGCTATAAAACTATTTAATGAAAGCCACAAAGAAAGGAAGAGAGACGCGAAAATAGTTCATACTAAACTCTCGGTTCCATTATAAAAGTTTCAAGAATCCTTTTGGCAGATTTAAAGGAACGTGAATCGAATGCAGACTACTTAAAGTACGAGGGTCATACTTGGGTTTGTTTCAGACTTCGAGTGGTGTCAAAGAAGAAACTCCTTTCGAATGGAATGTAAAAGTGGAATCGTCGATAGATTCTTCATACTTTTTCGGGTACCTTATAACGCAGGTTCCTGGGGGTTTTTTAGCGTCCATGTATCCTGCAAATAAGATTTTTGGCGTTGCTATTGTGACTTCAGCGATATTCAATATGGCTATACCGGGAGCAATGTCAGTAGGCCCAGCGGCTGTTGTATTATTGAAAGTAGCTCAGGGATTTGTGGAGGTGAGTTTTCAAAGTTAATAAAGTCTTTTGTTAGATTATTTTTTACCATCCGTTCCAGAATTAATAAAATTTTGAATAAATAGTTGTTTTCCCGTGGCCTCGCACGCCTAAATTACAGTATCACCGTAAGTGAAAGAATTTTTAAAATCGATTCAGTAGTTTTGGAGTCTATTGATTGCAAACAATCGAATCTTTCCGCTTGCAAATTAAAAAATATATATTGTATTTTTAAACACTCCAGATGTTTATTATTAACATCGTACTTGAAAAACAATTATATAGGTACGCCAAGTGTTTTTATTATGTCATGTAATACAGTAACTGACACAGGGCGCTTACTGAACTTGTAACTACCAAAGTCATACGTTCAAAAATTTTCTACATTTGGCATTCCGTCCGTGACCGAGCATGATCAAGCTTATTATTGGTGCTTAAAATTTTGGACCCCACATCCATATCGAATTTACGACGCATCACGTTTGAATAGGAATTCCCCTTCCTTTTGTATTTTAGACAAACTGAATTCTGCATAATATGATGTATCTCTGTTATAAGAGTGTAAGAATGGGGTGTTGCTAATTTGTATCCGATATACGTGTATTTAGATACGGTATCATTATTCGTGAAGTGAATAAAAATACGTAAATAGACATTGCCGATAGTCTTCGTTTAGATATTAAATTCTTAAATTGGGTAGTATTATCGATTATGGTGTATTGAAAAGCTCAAGTACTATCGGCACCGTTTTCGAAGTACAAAGCCTCTTTGGGATTATCGGGCCCTCGGTCTCCATGACTACGTATTTGCTCGATGCTACATCCCGGCTTAGTTGATTCTTCAATGCGAACGCTATCCTATTAAATCTAATACCACGAATTGTTGATACAATCATATGTTCTTAGATGTATCAGCTTTTTGTAAAGGTCAGGATAGAAAGGCATTTTATTATTTCCGAGATATATCAGCAGCGCTAAGAAAATATTTCCCATGTTATTTTAAGTAAGAAATTTATTATACCACGTCTGTAAAATTCCAAGATACGATATCACGAGCAATATGTTGTTATAATATCTCGGTGTTCTATACAATTTTTAATAAGAGGAACTGGGTCCCTCATTTTATCAGATTGATTTCAATCATAAGTTTTAAAAGTGACATGTAACAGCGTTTTAATTAATGACAATGAGGGGCTACATTTCCGAAATGGAACTTAATACTGTTGTTGAATAGAGAACAAAACATCTATAATTTTATGTAATTAAAAACAGATGATGGTATGTGATCATCATTTATGTATGTTTGTAGCTGGAACTTTATAGTTGTCCAAAAGGGAAACTTAAGCTCAAAAGTAGGAATGTACACAACGTACTTATGTTGTTCCAGTTATACTTTCTGTTTTTTCCCATCAATTCTTGATTTTACTTAATGTAACAAATGAAGTTGACCGAAAGGTTAGGGTTGATTTTGCTAGGTAATTCTTTTGTTAGTAATATAAGTATATTATGTATAATCAGTTAAAAAGTTATAGGTAAAAAAGGTTAATAATAAGTTAAAAGTAAAATTAATTCCAAATGTAAGTCGATATCGATATCTAATTCTGTTGATGATGTGACTATTTTTCTAGGTATCGGTACCAACACTATAATGACAATGGGTTTTCATTTCAGATTCATACTTTTAAGTGTTTTATTTTTAAAGGAACTTTTTCTTTTACATCAGGGTGTTACCTATCCATCTTGCCACGGCATCTGGAGGATGTGGGCCCCACCTTTAGAGAGATCTCGATTGGCAACACTGGCATTCTGTGGTACTTACGCTGGTATCGTCATTGGCATGCCACTCTCAGGCTTACTCACTGATTATATCTCATGGGAAGCACCATTTTACTTTTATGGAGTCTCTGGTGTTGTCTGGTAATTAAATTTTAAGATTATATTCGAAAAAATAGTTTTAAAAACCAAAAGAAAGCGTGTATATGTAGTAATTTTTGCGTAAAAAATATCCAGTTTCCATTGTGAAGATTAACCACCATAGTGTTGAGATCATATTTATATTTCATGTTCTTTGAATTGCTCTAAATATTTTTTTTTATCTTTTCATAGGTATGTTATGTGGCTTTGGCTTGTATTTGAGAGGCCTAGTAAACACCCCCACATTTCGGGCAAGGAGCTTACGTACATCGAACAGTCATTAGGAACGGCGACACAGGCCGCAATGCCCGGCTTTTGGAACACACCTTGGAAGGCTTTCGCCACTTCACCGCCGGTGAGCTAGTATTGCGAATTACTCATTTATTTATACATAGTGATAGTTATTCTTCCTTAATATTACATTTAAGATATAGGGATGATGACAAACTTTTGTTTATTAGATCTGTTCTTCAGGTAGACTTGAAGTATATTAAACACGTTTTTTTTTTCAGCATTAATTAATTACGTCGACACATTGAGTTGAAATGTTGTATGATGTGTCACACTTTTGTACATTTTTCATATAGTTGTGTTGTGAGCAAAACAAAAAAATATTGTTTTACCCAGTCATCATTCTAATCCTATAAACTTTTGAATAGGTGTACGAATTATATGATTTGTTTTAGGTGTATGCTATAATCGTCGCGAACTTCTGCAGAACATGGAACTTCTGTTTGTTAGTAATTTTTCAATCTGCGTATTTCAACACCAGATTCAACATGCAGATTACTGAGGTAAATAGTGGAGAAAATAATAGAGTATGACCATCTCTGGCATCTTCAACAATCATCATTTATACTTCAGAAAATTATATAAAACTTTAATACATTTGTTCAAAACCTTCATAGTAAATTACAAATGCCATTTTTGAAAACCGTATGAAGGTGTTTGGTAGTTTTGTCGTATTCAAACAAACAGATGTAGCGGAGGACTTTGCAGAATGTAAAATAAGCAATTATAACATCAATTAATACATTTAATTTTATATTTGCCATTTATATCATCATCATCATCATCGTCAGCCCTTTTGCGTCCCCACTGTAGGGGCTCAGGTCCATTTTATGGATGATTAAGGAGGGGGGGCCATGAAACTCCACGCTGGCTTAACGCGAATTGGAGGGTATAAACGATTGCAAATGCAACCGAGACCAATGCCTTGATGTGCCTTTCAAAGCACGGAGTAGCTCAAGATAATAAGTTTTTGGTCACCCATCCAGCGACCGAGCCTTGCGAAAGTTGTCTAATAATAATGAACTCGGGTTGCAGCGATTATCCACTACACCACCTAGCTACTCTGTCATTTGTATAGGCATCGAAAATCATAAGTTAATCTCATTTAACTTTTTAAATTAAATTTTGACATTATGTATTAATACCGAGATCTTAAAATACTTAAAACATTTTCCGATGTTATATTCTTTTAGTCTGGTTTCGTCGGTGCTATCCCTCACTTGATTATGACTTCACTGGTGCCGATCGGCGGCATGTTAGCAGATTACCTGAGAAAGAATAACATTATGACCACAACTAATGTGCGCAAACTCTTCAACTGTGGTGGTTTCGGAATGGAAGCATTCTTCTTTATCCTAGTAGCATATGCCAATAATAAGGTAAGCAATTTTATAGTGGTATTTAAACATGTATCTGATGTGTTTATTGGTCATTGCCGTTATTTGTCAGTTTTAGAGCATATTTCGAATAGAACAATCAAAGTTCATAAAGAAACAATGATTTTATTTATTTTGAAAGTTATATCTAAAGAAAATACAATTTTGAGTTCTTGCTTGTCGTAACTATAATGTCAGTTATTCTAATTTAGAATTATTTAACATGCATAATAATACGTATAAAAAGTCTTTTAAGCAAAGGTCTTACACATGATGATTTAATGTCTAGAGTCCATACACAATATCATGTCTCTCTTGCATTTTTTTCTATTTCTTTTTTTCATATCACTGAAATGTTTACTCAATTTGTAATTTAATTATAGGTAATTCATATTATTTCAGTATGTTGCTACCATAGAACTCACGCTAGGCGTTGCCTTCAGCGGTTTCGCGATATCAGGCTACAATGTCAATCATCTGGACATAGCGCCGCGGTACGCTTCTATTCTTATGGGCTTATCTAATGGTATCGGCACCATTGCTGGCTTCCTCGTACCAATTGTCATCGACTACATCACACAGGATAAGGTAAATTATTACTTTGATTGTTGAGCAAAACTAAGCTAAAACAATGTTGTAATTCGGAGCTTAATAGTTTTCGTAGTCGTTTTTGCATTTGTTATAACGATGCGTACATAAAACTTGAAAGCATTTAAGAGTCTACAGACAAACACACTATGCATTGAGTATTATACACGTACCTAGTAACCCGCAAAACCAAATGTGTTTTTTAGAGCAGAAAAACTTTTATTTTTTTCGATAAATAATTCCTTTAAACGTCCATGGTAATAAATAAGGTGTTCCTTAGTCAATTTATACTTTAAATAAGTATAAATTGACTAAGGAACACCTTAATAAGATTTTTTCTAAAAAATATAAAGATTTTCCCCTTTAAATATCCATTTTGGTTTTGCAGGTTACTACGTGTTTGATTTCCAGCGTCGATATATTCCTTTTTAGTCTTATCGCATTGTATAAGGTGTCTTGCAAATTGGTGAAGACCGTCCAAAATATAGTTTCTGTCTAGGGTTTTTAAAACAATTGAACATGAAAAGCAACTAGTATACATTTATAAGATTTGGAATAAAGATAGCTAACTTTAACTACCTACATAAATTTCCTTCACCCTTACAGGAAATTGGCAAACTTTATTGAAAGTATTTTCATTATTATTTATTATACTTTCGTTACGCACTTCTGAATTGTACTCGTGTACGAAAACCTCCCCTTGGAGTATAGTATTCCGTCATTGAGGCGAAACAAAAAGGACACTCGTCTGTAGCTAATTTAAAAAAGAAATCGCCCGCCGTGCCGAGTGACGCGCGCTGAATATCGAATGAGCCGCTTTGTGGGTGCGCGCTGGAGCGTCACCACGACCACTTTATTATCGTTGCCAATGTGGCTTGTGGGCGTTAATGTTATAGTACCAATAACAACTTACTATTTTAGAGTTCATTATTTATTATTTTTAGTTTAAAATTCATATGGAATATCATTTATTCAGTAGCTGTTTACGAGCACTTGAGAATGTCCAAAGCTATGCTAACGATTCAAAAGTTACGGCGGGAGTCCTTGTACTGAATAGAATTTTACTAATACGTTTTTTCTCCCTGTTTTATTTTATACAGAGAAATCTAATTGAAAAAAAGAGCTTTATTACAGATCTCAATACTTTTGATAATGATTATGAATTAAAAATTTTGTTTCATTAGCCGTGTCATATAAATTCATTAATACCTATATACAATATGCAAAATAACAGAATGTGACCAAAATTGTGAATTACAAGCAGACGCATTCAAGACCAACAGTGACTTTTTATTGGTGTTGGCGAGAAACCCATATGAAAGGCTTTGTTTTGGTTATTGTGATCAACGAAGTCATTTCATTAACGTTTGTTGGTCCAGTCATTACTCACCATTAAGATAAATTATTCATAGCATATAAATAACACCACAGAATATCCACGAGAAAGCTATCACGGAGTGGCGAGCGGTGTTCCTGATGGGTGCCACAGTACATTTCATAGGAATCACAATTTACGGTATCTTCGCGTCTGGAGAACTACAGCCGTGGGCCGAGCCGACGTCTGAATTTGATACGGCAGTCAAATCGCTGGAGCATGAAACCACTTTCGTAAGGGCATAGATGATATTTACATATTCAATTCTTTGCCTTTGTAAAAAAATATATGTAAAATAGAATATTCTTGCTTAATAATAAGTAGAAAATTAATTATGTGACAATTTCCGGGTCCGATTCCCAGTTAAGTTAATATAGAAAATTGACTTTATTGTCTCCGGTCTGGGTTGTGGTACTTTCGTTACTCCATAATAGGCTACTCTTCTCGGAATCTGAGTAATATATGTTATTAAAATATTTATTAAAACAAAAAGATCATCGTATAGTTATGCTGTAGCTGATGATTTCTAGAAAATTTTAAAATTATCTAATCGTAGCATGTTTATAAATAATTCTAGCATCGCTAATGAGTCAAACACCTCAATAATTAAAATACAGTATTATAAGTTTTACAATATTACTGTACTTTAATAATGTACATGCATTACAATTTTATAATTATTATTAACTTATTTACAGTTATTTGTTGATTAATTTAAAGAATATGCCATCATCAGTTACGAATTATTCTAATCATTCTAATATAATATAAGTTTGTGAATATTAATATGTGTCCGTAATATTTTTTATATAAATAGTCTTTTTTAATTGTTTTCTTGTTGTCACACTTAAAGACTTTTTCTTATGAAGTTGAAAAACTAGTAATGAGTAACAATATTACTCAGGTTGGCCAAAAATAAATACAAATTACAACATAAAAGTCCAAATTATAAATTCTATTAATTAACTGCTGTTATCCACTAAAACGCTCATGATTACAAAAGTAATCGAAATAATAAAAAAAAATAATTAAACATGACATTCCACTTTAATATAATCTTATATGTAAATTAAATACTTTCCTACTACCCCTTCACAGACGGAGCGGTCTTCAGCAGCACCATTGAAAGGCTCTGAGCCCCCAGCATATGGCGCTATAGCAGCACCTCCCCGACCACCAGTACCTGAGAAGCACGTCCCAAATAATCCCTTCGTGAGTGGCGCGTTTTATCAGGCGGAACCCGTACAGCCTCCATCGCAGCAATACCACGATCCTACTGAAGACGCAACCTACTAAAACAAGATACGATTAAGGTAGCATATAACAATCCTATCCTATTAATATTATAAATGTGAAAGTTTCTTTGTTTGGATGTTTGTTGGTCAATCACGCCGAAACTACTAAACGGATTTTGATGAAATTTGGTATAAAGATAGGGTATTATCTGATTTGATAATAAGATACTTTTTATCCCACTTCACATTTTCCCACTTCCACGCGGGCGTAGCCGCTGGCGAAAGTTAGTATACTTATAATTAGATTTCAGTATTAACCTTTGGGGTACCCCAAAACGCTAGTATATCCCTTAATATAGCATATTTAAAGTTATTCTTTTGTCTTTTTATTATTGCACAGTCCCAAGTACCCAACGGTCTTTGGTCATATTTCAATATAATTCTCAAATTTAATAATGCAAAGAAAATTAATAAATAAGTCATTGACTATTTTTATTTCCTAAAATTAATTTTAATTAGTCCTAACTACAAATAAACATAAAGCCATCTGGTGAGACTCAGTTTATTAGTTTCTTTTCTTAATGCTTATCAAATGTTCAAGAAAAAATTGTATAAAAATTCATGATCCTCATACAGCCGTAATGGATGAAAACCTCTTTACATTCAGGTTTTCCACAATTTTCTACTATGTAAGATGTCAAAATAATCTGTTTACAGGAATCTCAGGCCAGATAGCAGAGTGATTCGGTGGCGACTCTTCTATTTTTATAGATAGGTAGGGAAATTACATTTATAACTGTTTCGATTCAATAGCTTAAATGAAATATCATGTTGCTAATAGCAACAATTAGACATAGTGTACCTGTACTTATATTATCACCGATATTGTGTACCTGTTTCCAAAGTTATTAAAATAAAGCCCCAGTTAATTTACTGCTAAAATTATAAAAAGCTATTGTAAAGAATATTATTGTTGAATTATTTATTTGTATTAAATATTCTATCGTTTGTTTTAACCTTCTTGTACAGGTGTAAATAAGTTGTATTTGCATATCAAAGCTCAAAGCTGTTAGGATGTTGTTGGATCAATGAATTGATCAGCGTAGTTGTTCTTAGTTGGTAGCGGAATAATTTGTGAGTATTCTGACACTCTATCGTACCCTCTCTTAACAGAACTAAAATCTAATTTTATTTTTACATTTTTCTTAAGATATATGTTATGAAAAAAAAAGACAGTATTTATGAGTTAACTTGTGTCCTTTTAGTTATTTTTAGATACTAAAACGCGGTTTTACAGGATTAAAACAACATTAAAACTATATGTAGCCTAGTTTGTGCAACAAAATTTTACATTTTGAATATAAAATCATCAGTGAAACGTCAATAATCAAATACGCTGTAGTTTTCTTGGTACAACAACAACTAATTATGAAAGAGATAGAGTCGTGTGGGACAAAAGAGGGCATGTTGTTTAAATCTCGGGAAAATTGAAAACGACATAAGAAATTAAAGAGATGTTAGACAGAGTGGTATAGGACCTTTTCAATTTAAGTTTGTTTTCTATTTATTTTTTAAACTACTAGCTATGCGGACACACTCTTTGTATACAATTTACCATATGACTCTACCGCTTTATATTTGAGGTTAGTTCTTATAGAAATTTAAGCTATGATTTCCGTACAATCATGAAATGATTGTGGATTTTTGTAAAATTTATTGATTTAGTTTTATTATAATATTTTGTATAATAAGTTCTACTTTATACTAACAACATATTTCACAATTAAAAGTCATCCAGCTAGCCAATATTAATGAAATTGTTGTATAATGTTTATAAATATATAAGTAACTGTTCAAAATTTAGTGTCGTATCCATTTAATAAAACTATTAATGTACTTATTATCTATGATAGATGTAGCCTTATGAAAACGAAAATGTTAATTGTAAAGGGAAGTAATGTAATCATTCAAAAAACTATGTAACATTTCGTAGAGTGTTTATGTATATTGCTTTTCATAATTGAGTTTATAAACTTATATTTGGCTAATATTAAACTTTATGCGTTAGCTGATGAGATAGTTATTATATAATTTGCCGGACGAGGTGTATTATGATCATGGAAAAAAATATTGTGAAATGAAAATAATATTAATCAAGAAATAACAATTCAGGCGGAAGGTTCTGTTGTGTGATTTTTCAGACACGTAGAAAAAAAAATTGTTCCAAATCGTTTTGATAAACCATAGAATTTGATTAAAATGCATTATTTTTTCCACTGCAGCTTATTTGGACATTAAATTTTTTTTATGACGATGCATCTCAGACTTCTTGTTCACCTTGGAAATTCATTCGTGATATTTATTAATGTTTATTAATTAGATAGTTTAGATTAAATACGTATTTCCCTTTCTTTTTTAAACACAGATTTCATTTTTAGATTAATTATCATTTAATTTAGATAATTATATCTATGACTCTGTCCATATTTATTTTCTGTATCTAATGTGTGATATATACGGTTAATAATAAATGTAAATCATATTAATCATAACTATACGTAGCCTATTTAATATTATAATCGAAAATATAAAGAAGCTATATAGAATAAAAATAAGGAATACTTTACATTTATTTTTAAATGTTTCTGAATTATTTGTTACATTAAAGTCTTGTACAGTTAAGTTTCTTAGATATTATTTGAGAAATATGTGTGTAGTCTGTGCTATTTTTACTATAAAAACCCACATTACTATTGTGATAATAAAAATAGCCCCGTTTGTAAATATCATATAGGTATACTTAATATTCGTATTTGTAGAATGTAATTAAATAGTATCTGTAAATTTATAGTGTATTTTCTAAATAAATTGTGCATGATGTAGTAGTTGTATGCTTATTTTTATCCCCATCGTTGCACGTTTTTTTTCTTTTCCTAATTATATTTCATTGGCTAGTAGTTCACACTTAGTAACATTAGCTTGCACTTAGATATTTCGATATAAATGTTCTAATATTATTCAGTATGAAATACACATTAGCACCAGCACTAACACATTTTAAGTAGTTACTAAAGTACGACTTAGATTTGACAATAAAGGAATCCCTATAACGAGACAATATTTTTTTTTCAGTTCACTTAAATAAAAGTGAATTTGATAAAATAAAAATCACTCTGTGATAAATATGGGATGCTTCTTTCGGGTAACCAGGACAATAAAAAACGTGTTCTGCAACCAAATGATTACAGATGTTTTTCACTGTAATTACTTTTGGAAATTGTGCGAAATGTCTTTTGAAAAGTTTTAACTTTTCAAATAGATAAGTCTATTTTGAAATTGCGACAATAAATATGGTAATACAATTGGTTTTGTTCACTTGTTATACAGCGCACAGTCTAGAAATTGCTACTTATATTTTTATGGCAATTAATATGTATATGTGAATTTTTTATGGACAATTATCGGCTAAAAGAACAATTAAATTATTTAAAAAATTATGGAATCGAAGACAGTGCAAAGTTTTGGCTTAAAGGACTTTGTATTCAAGCCAATAAAATATTATAGAAAAAAAATAGACATGTTAAAGTTAACACTGAAGTTAAGAAGAACGAATTTTTGTCTGGATACACTTATATATAATTATATAACTATAATTATAATTTGTGTAAATATTCTTGTATTTGTTATTATACTAGGAATATGCATTTGATATAAGAATAAAAACAACCTGACAGAACTTGGGATATAATACTGGTATATTTATAATTGAAATAATTCTGTCATCGATGTTTTTTAATTTTAACGAAATAAAAATCCTGTAAATTAATATAGCTCGAAAATATGACAATAAAATTATAGAAGCTGTTGTTACTGTAATGTGTTGGTGTTATAATTAGGTACATGTAATCATTATAATTAGTTATTATGTATAATCAAGGCGGATTATTGGACATGGGTGGGAATTATCATCGTAAATTTAGCTGATTTAAAAAAGATTTATTTATATATTTTTATAACGTTGCATATACTCAATAACGTATTAGGTTTTTCGAAACATTATTGTTTATTACAAAAATAAATTTAAAATAATTTTGGTGACGTCCTCGCAATTGTTATTATTTTAATTGTCATATTTCGTAAAGTTGTTAGAATAATATAATAAATTAGATAATAAATCAAATTGTTGTTTTAAAATATCTCTACGCCGTCAATTCTGTGCTGTAAAATATGTTTAAATAAAGTTGAGAAATACTTCTTGAGTGTGTAGTTTATGAATAATAAAATCACACGAGAGTTATTTTTGTAATTGATAAATAATTTTAAAAGTGTTTTTGTAAAAAATCAAATATTCCCATTGAAATACTGTTTATTTTAAACGGACTCACCAAATGCTTCTTAAAAATAAAGTTAATTTTTCATTTATGTTTATAGCTCCTTTAAGTAGTAACCATTATAAAATAATCGTTTAATTTAAATATTCATTGATTTGATTAAATTTGCATCATTCTTTGTCTGTTATTATTTGAGAAATCCATTATATGCATTAGGTACTAGAAATTGGCTGGGAAATGTGCATGTGAATATAAGTTAAGGGTTGAAAATAAATTAATTTGAAGATAGATTGCTTAATAAGAACACAGATATTGTAATTGGCTATTTCTTCAAGGATATTATGTAAGTTTGCGCTTGACATATCACAATTGAAGTTAAAGGAAAGATGTCAGTTTTTGAAATTCACATCGAATATAATGATACTTATAATGAATGTTGTTTGTGTACAAAATGGTATGTTATTAACTATGTATAATTTAAGCTCCTTAAAATTACATTAAACGAAAATTTAAAGAACGAACTTCCGTAATGAAAGTAGGATGGAAGCAACAGAAAAAATGACTATGGTTAAGTGGGTATTTGCTCTTCATTTAAATAAGGGAGTTCATCATCTAAACGCAGGTGAAGTATAAGGTAAACTAAAGCGAGCGAAAATAAAAATTTGCATTTTGAGTTTGTCAAAGAGAACGAAACAACCCACAGAGGAATTGTTTTCGAATATAATTTTAGCATCATAAAATTTGGCGGCTATTTAAAATAGAAAATGTATGTAGCTTCGAGAATTTCATCGACTGAATTCTCTGAAATTATATAGTGTGCGAATGTTTAATGATAATTTTCACGATGTCCAAAACTATGGCAGAAAGGGTACAGGCAGATCCCCCGAAGCACTTGTTGATGTGCACTGGTCGGTTAAAGAGATTGAGTATTCTAAGGAAGAATAGTTTCATAAAATTAGAAATAATGATATTATAACCATCATTATAGGTAAGAAATACGCACATAATGTAAACTTGATAATTTTTTTTTCTTCGATTAATTGTTGTAAAAAATTTCACGTGGCGTTTACTTAATATTATAACAGTAATATATATTTAATTGTTAATTTATAGAAGTTATAACTATGATAGCAATTACAATTTAATTTTGGCTCTAAATATTTTATATATTGAACACCTGATTCAAATTCATGAAAATTATTCGAACTAAATCAATTATAAAGTCAGCAATAAAAGTCGAAACTAATATGTACACAGCGTTACAATATTATACGCAAGATACCTTTATTTCTGTTAGGCTGCAGAAATTGTATTTAAAAATATTTCAAAATTTTGACTTAAAATGACAACTATAGTTAAAGGCATAATATTTAACAGTGTATTTGACATAAATAAATATTACAA